GACTTTGTGGTTCAAGCTCTTCCCCAACCTCATTCGTATCGCGTACGAAAAGTGCCCCTTTACAGTCACCATTGGTCGGGACCTGATCTGCAACCGAATTCTGCAGATGTACAAAGCTATCGTGCTTTTGTCGGAGCCATCCAGGGGCTTGTACTACGGATCAGATCCCGGGAGTGCCCGCGTCGCCGGTAGGACACCGACAACACAGCCGGAAATCCTCGTGGAACAGTGGAAACTCTACTTGATATTCGCTTGTACGACTCTGGCCGACCCAGGAAGCGTCGTGGCTGCCAATCCTCAAGCCGCACAGCATAGCCGAAAGACGTCCAAGCCTGGCTCTGCGGACAAGATTGTCTCAGCCAGAGTCCTCTTCAAGTACCTCATACCCCTCTTGTCAGTTTCATCGGCATCGGTCAGAGATGCTGTGGTCCTCGCCATGGGCTCTATCAATATCCACATCTACCGCACACTCCTCGAAGAGCTGGCGGGACAAGTTTCACGCTGCAACGATGAAGCTCGCGCCCGCATCCATCAGCGTACCAACAGTAGCCCAAGGCGCAACCGGAAGATGGATCTTCTGAGGACTGAGATTACCCATGTTTATAAGCTGACCTGCCATTTCCTCAAGATCGAAGACGTCTACAACGACGAGTGGGTCCTCACCAATCTCGTCACCTATACCCGGGATCTCAAGCTCTTCCTCATGGACGGTGAAGTTCAGATGGACTGGGAGTTTCAGAAACTTAGGCGGCATTACTGCGGCCTGACGGAAGAGCTATTTGAGGGGATCAACAGAACCAAGGATCCTTCTCGGTGGATGACTTTTGAGTCCCGAAAGTCTGCGTTTTCTTTGATGGAGGACTGGTGCGGCTTTTCGCCAAATCAGACTCAAATTCGAGTCAGGGAAGACACCATGCGGCAGTCCCTCATTGACCAGCAGTCACTCGGTGAACGAGGCACGGTCACAGCGGCCATGGAGATTGAGAAGCGAAATCTTCGTACCGCAGCTCTCAGTGCCATGGCTGCCCTCTGCGGCGGACCGATGAGCATCACCACTGAGAGTGGCGCGACGCTACAGTTCGATATTCGAAGAATGCTGGCTTGGATCGAGGCCATCTTCAATTCGGGAAGCGACCGGATGAACGTCATCGGCCGCCGAGCCTTGCAGAACTTGATCATCCACAACCAGGAATTGCCCTATCTCCTGGAACACTGCATAGCTCGATGCTATCTGTCCGACGTTTCCAAGGTCCAGGAGAGCTATTTCGCCGTCGTCACCAAGGTTTTGCTCGAGCACCTCGACTACACGTGCCCGTTCTGGAAGTTGCTCGGACTCTGCCTATTCACTCTCGGCAACGACGAAAGTGAAATCAGATCAAAGTCTGCCCGTTTGATGAGGTCCCTCGAGGAGAGACAGCAGCCAGGACGTACCTCCAAGATTCAGGACTACGACATTAGCATTTCCGACAAGACAAAGGCAGTCTACAAGCTTGCACAGTTTGAAATCTCAAAACGACTTGCCAAACAGCATACCGAGCTGGCGTTCCACATCTTCTCCGAGTTCACCCTATACTTCAAGGATCTCCAGCCTGCCTCGCAGCGGAATGTTGTTGCCGTTATATTACCTTGGATCCAGTCGATTGAGCTGAGGGTCGATCCCAATGGTGGCCCTATCGCCCAGTCGTACGTACTGTTGGCCAATTTACTAGAGATCACCATCAAGTCGAGCGGTGCTCTACACAACGAGGTTCAAGCTTTATGGCAAGCTCTCGCCACCGGTCCGTATCCCGGAAACGTGCGGCTGATCCTCGACTTCATAATATCTCTCTGCCTCGAGAGACGCGAGCAAAACTTTGTCGAGTACGCCAAGCAGATTGTGGTCTTCCTCTCGAGCACCACGAGCACCCCCGGCATGAAGGTTGTCGAGTTCCTTCTGATGCAGATTACTCCCAAGGCAATGGTTCCGAACGAAAAGAAGGACGCCATGCCACCACCGCCCGACATTGGCCTGCTCCCTTACTGTGCAGACCTGGGCGAGGCGCTCCCCGTGGGCACGAAGCAAGCCGGCTTCTCCCTCGGACAGCTTTCTCTCATCTTACTCGTTGATCTGATGGTTTCACCTGTGCACCTCACACCTGAGAACGTGCCGGTGCTACTTCAGGTGGTTACCGTGCTCTGGGACCACTACACCCCTCTTGTCCAAGAGCAAGCTAGAGAAATGCTCGTCCATCTCATTCATGAGCTTGTCATTTCTCAACTGGATGACGAGACGGAGCTTACGGCTAGAGCGTCGATCGAAGACCTCATTGATCTGATCCGCCGCCATGATCGTTCAGTCGTCTGGGGCTACGAAGACAGCAACGGCAAGGCCGATGACCACGATAACAAGGTCCCTCCAAGCATGGAATTCTTGACGGCCGAGGTTGTCAAGACGTTTGAAATCACCTACCCCGGCATCAAAGACCAATGGGGCAGGCTGTCCCTGACGTGGGCAACCTCATGTCCTGTCAGGCACCTCGCGTGTCGCTCATTCCAGATTTTCCGTTGCATCCTCACGTCACTCGACCAGTTCATGCTGGGCGATATGCTCGCCCGCTTATCGAACACTGTTGCAGACGAAGACACTGAGATCCAAACGTTTGCCATGGAGATTCTCACAACGCTGAAGACGCTCATTCTTAAGCTCGACGCAGACAAGCTGCTCACATTTCCTCAGTTATTCTGGACAACATGTGCTTGCTTAGAGTCCATCAATGAGCGCGAGTACTTGGAGGCTGTAGAGATGCTCAATGAGTTCCTGACAAAGGTTGACTTTAGATCGCCCAATGTCCGCAGGTTGTTGCTCGACGGCCAGCCTTCGAGATGGGACGGCGTCTGGGAGGGCCTCCAGTCTTTGCTCTACAAGGGGTTGAGATCATCCATCTGTATGGAGGCCACGCTCACCACTCTGGACAAGGTGGTTCAATTGCCCAGTGACGGCCTCATTGGTGACGATAGTCGACTTTTCTTCGCGATTCTGGCCAACTTCCCCCGTTTCTTGCACGAGATGGAAGAGGATGAGCCTAGTGAGCAAGTTTTGCAATCCGCCGAGATCCTGTGCACTGTTTGCGAGGCCCACGGATACGGCAACGTCGCTGAAGTGCTCCAGGAATACGTCAGCTTCAAGTACCAGGGCAACAACAGAGAGTTCCAAAGCCGCCTATTCGCCTCTCTCCAGGATCATTTCCTTCCCAATCTGGACTTCAAGATGGTCATTTTCCTCATGGGACTCCTCACGAACTCCACGGCGTGGGTGAAGTTGAAGATTATGAATGTTCTCAGCATTGTCATCCCCGAGATTGACATGCGAAAGCCCGAACTAGCTGGCCACGGCTCCGATCTCATCTCTCCTCTTTTGCGTCTATTGCAGACCGAGTTCTGCATGGAGGCACTAGAGGTCTTGGACAACATCATGACAATGTCGGGCAGCGCTATGGACAAGCAGCACCTGCGGATGAGTATGACTCGCTCTACCTCCAAGACAATCCGCAAGGAATACGAGCGGACTGTCAGTCTGTTTGGCATTCCAGAGGCTTCTGGGTGGGCCATCCCAATTCCTGCCAGGAAGACTGATCTCACTCGCGCCAATATCCACGCCGCATTCTACATGTGCCAGGCTGCGGAAGGAATCCTGACGGAAGCAACGCCGACGCCCGATGTCGAGTTCCACAACGACGACTTCCCGTACAGCTACTTCCAGATGCCCGACCGGACCGAGACGATGATGTCTGACGAAGGCCGCGGAGACGGACACCTCGGCGACCTCGTGACCAAGCTGGACAGCCTCGACGATTTCTTTGACGACCTCGGCTCGAGCCCACCCAGCGACGGCCGCTCGTCTAGGACCATCACCGAGTTCTCACCGGACAGCTTCGAGTCCGGAGCGCAGTTGTATGATGAGCAAATCCTGCCAATCCTGCATCAGGCTTCCAACAACAGCACGTTCCAGAATGGGTTTACTGACAGGCCACCAGCTACGGCAAGGGATCCGAGCTCCAACACGATGAATCCTGGAGCTTTTAGCGCGTCGGCGTCGGGCAGCGGCGGCCTGGGAGGAGGAGGACTAGGAGGAGGGCCAGGGGGCTCCTCCTCGCGGCCCGGTCTCCACTACCGGTCCATCACGTCGCCGTCGGCCCCGGCATCGTACCAGCCGCACATTAGCGAGTTCACCTCGGACGACGAGTTCCCCGAGGACGTCTTCTCCGACGCGGACGACGAGCGACCGAACACGGGCCACGGCGGCGAGGGTTCCTTTTCGCTAGAGAACATGATAAAGCCGCTCGCGCAGAGCACGCGGTCTCGGATGCGCCGTCTGACGGGCGGCAGGTCACGCGAAAACGACCGACAGCAGGAGCTTTTCCGAGCCGAGCGGGCGGTTGCGGCACAGCAGGTTCCCAAGGTGCCGACCAACTTTTTGACAAAGATGCCGCCGCAGGGGGAGATGCTCTAGGGGGGATGAGAAGGCGCATTGGGTTATTAATCAAGTCAAATAGTTGTCTATTTATTTACATCATGTATAAAGAGCGCTAGTCCACTTGGCCTAATGGGGGAGATGGTGCAGGGTCACAGAGCACGGCGTATCAGATACTCCTCGTCACGCGCATTGGTAGAGAGGCGCATATAAACGAACCTACGTATCATCGTATCACGAAGACAGATGGATAGAGAGAGAAGAAGATAGGGAGGTAAAGATGAAGAAGGGGTGGCTAACGTACCTCACCTAATAATGAAAAAAAGAAATAAGAAATTCACATTATGAGAAGAAAAAGGTTCTTTGGAATCACAGCATTAGCATCTTCTGGTTCGGTGTGACAAAAAATTTCTTGATTGTGTGAGACCAACCCTAGTTCGTTTCCTGAGCCTGATGTATATCTCTTCCGAAGCATAAGATGAAGCCGACCGCTAGATGTGAATGCGGATGCGAAGAGGTGCGTAAAGGGAGTTGGTTGGTAGGTAGGTACCTAGTATCGGTGTCTGGTGGAGTAATCTGCGCGAGAGAGGAATTCGGGTTAGCGAGAGTGACAAAAAGAATCAGAGAGTGGTAAATGATGACTACCCTTTGGACTGACGACGAGACCGCGGCCCTTTTTGGCGCCGCGGTAGACTGTCTCGATGATGTCTATGAGTTCTTGTTTGTCTTCCAGCACCCAGTTGAGCTATTGAGAAGAAAAGGGGCACATGTTAGTTCGTTGCTCCGGTGGCGCATCGACAGGAGGAAGCTTTTGCATACCTTGTTGTTGTTACCCGTTCCGAAATCAACCATCATGTGTTTATTCCTGAAAAAGAACATGATTGTGCAGGGGTCGTAGAGTTCGTACACTGCCAGGAAGACGATGTTAGAATCTAGGAGTCTAGAGAGAGTATGTGTATTTGCTAAAGACGTGCTGTTTCTCAAGCCGGTGGAAGGGGTGTTGTAGGAGCGACATACTCTGATTGAAATCAGGCACCTGGTCGATATCGCAGACGTAGATGGAGGCAAAGTTCTTGACGCGGTCCGAGATGCGGTAGAGGACTTCGTCTTGCTTCATGCAGTCGCGGTCTGCGTCTCTTCCGAAGCGGATCTGTTGTTGCGAGAGGAGATTTGTTAGTCAGGCAGTTCAATGCGTGTGTAGAGGGTGCGCCGGTGTCTGGTTGTGAGGAACTTACGACGACGAGGCGCTCTTCTTCGGAAAGGATGGCTTGATCGACGTGCCAGCCGCTGTTGAGATGGGGGATGACGATGGAACCCATGGTGATGATGTATGTTGTGTGTATAAGGGGCGTGTGTTGCAATTGATTCGAGGGCGTGTTGCGGGACCGCGGTACGGAATAGGTTCGTTGTGTCGATGGTGAGATGGTTGCGATGGAATCGTTTGGTTTTCTCGAAGCTGGCGGGGGAAGTTTATTTGGAACCTGGACTTTCCAGCAACTGGCCGGCGAAATGTCATTGCGGGTCTCCCCTGCTAAGGTACCCCCGAATCCGCCCCTCCAGATCCCCGCGCTAAACCTGAAAAGAAAAGCCGACAAGAGCGGTCTACACGGCAGAACGTTTTATTTCTTGGATGGTATTTACCGCTGTATTCCCATGGAGGATTTCTTGGGAAAGATGCAGTGGACAAGTCCGCTCACTTAGGACAACCCTCTTTTATTGTGTTTTTTCTTCTCCCCAATTTTCAGACAAGATACCCAAAATGCCTAAACGTCCGTCGCGTGGAGGATTTGAGGGCGCAGATGCGTCCCGGAAGAGGCAAAAGGTCGTGCATGAGGCGCCGACTTTTGAAGAGGTTGCTTCTGCGCGGCATCTGCAGCAGCTTTTGACCTTTGAGCAGGACCAGAAGCGAGCGCGGCATGGTAAGCGCATTCTTTGAATCGACACACTTGTCAATCGGTTGGGACACGAGACTGACATATTCACCACTTGATCAGGTATTCAATCCCTCAAAGTCTTCCTCGACGGCTTTAATTCCGGCCATGGCGACAACGACGCCCGCTTCGCCCTCCTCAGAGAGTACCTCGAGGCCTCCCGGCCGCGCGATAGCACCGGCGACGACGCCGTCTACCTCTCGGACGTGATGGAGACCTGGTCCTACGGCGCGCAGGTCAACAACGAGGCCATGATGTCCGCGGTGCCCGCCGTGCTGGCCCTGCTCCTTCAGGTCGTCTCGCAGTCTCTCCAGCTCCTGCCCCACGCCCTCGACATCGCCCGCACCTTGCTACAGGAGCGCCAGCTGAAGCTCATTGGAAAGTGCCTCTCGGCGCCCAAGGGCAGCGGCTACGTCATATCGCCGACACTGCGGCTGGTGCGCGAGCTCGTGACGCTGGACGGCGGCACGCTCGCGAGGAGGGTGTTCCGGGCGCGGGACCACACGTTTGCGAGCTTCGCGCGGAACTTGGAGATCCGGCACCTCGGTGCGGACGGCGAGAGGGGGGGTGGCGTGGTGGAGGACCCGTCTAAGCCCTCGGTGCGGACGAATGCTATCAAGCTGTTCTTGAGCTGCCTCAAATTCTTGCCGTCGGAGGCCAGAAAGGAGCTGCTGATGCTCAAGGAGGTGTTTTCGCATCTGACCTTCTTGATCAAGGACGACCCGCCGTTCTTGATCGTCGAGCTGCTGGCTGCGCTGAAGAAGAGCGTGCTGCTGGACGAGAAGCTGCCTCGCGAGGTCAAGTTTAGGACGTTCAACACCAAGACCCTGGATCGCCTGGCGGGACTGTACACGTACAGACACGATGTCGAGGGAGATGACCAGCCTTCGGTCAGGGAAACCGTTCACGAGTTTTTGCTCTATACCTGCACGACCCCAGGAGCGGGCGTGCTGTACTCTGGAACGGGCTTGTACCCCAAGGAGCTCGAGGATGAGGCGGCGCAGGATGTCAAGAGCTTGGACGACTACGCCCTGGAGCGCGTAGCATGGATGGACAAGTACAAGGACGATATCGCCGTTGCAAACTTTGTGCTCTCCGAGTTTATCCAAAAGCTGCGTCCGTGGTCGAGTCTGAAGCACAGCGAGCTCATTGTCGCCATCTTCCAGTCGGCGCCCGAGTTGGTCGCTAGTTACTTCATCAGCAACAAATCATTCACATTTGAGCCGAAACTCTCCATGACATGGATCGGATACGCCGCGTTTCTCTTCAACACGGTCAATCTCCCGCTGCCGCCGCACTATGGTCCCACGACGGGCTACCGCCGCGTGCCCCCGCCGACATCTATCCTCCTCGACAACATCCTGCCGCTCCCGCTCAAGCAGCGGGACCTGGTAAGGTGTCTCTCGTCAAAGTCCACCTTGGTTTCCTTCTTTGCCGTCCGGATCCTCGTCCTCGCTCTTCAGAAGCTCCAGGTCGCGTTGAAGATGCACCGCGAGGCGGCCGAGTCGTCAAAGTCGACCTGGGAGACGGCGAGCCGCAAGCTCATCGACGAGTTTTGCCAAAAGATTCCCGATATGAAGGAGGTGACAAAGTGCTACAAGGCCATGGCGGAGGAGAATGTCCTTCAGCGCGAGGCGGCCAGCAGGCTGCTGCTGCTCTATTACGAGGTTATTCCGCAAGTCGCGCTGCGTGCCAATTTTGACGTTTCGCCGTTTCTGGTCAACTCGCTTACGCGTCTCGACAGCCGCGCGGACGAGCCGCAGAACCAGGCGCTTGCTCTCATGGAGTTGGAGAACCTGATCGCCATCGCCGGGTACTCGCCCGGCATGAGGTGGTTTGCCAAGACGGAGGGTCTCGCCGCGTCGCCGTTTGTCGCGCTGCTCAAGTTCTATGTCGAGGCTGCCCAGGGACGACCAAAGCTGAAGGAGGTGCTCGAGTCCGTTGCCGTGCAGCATCAGCTGGTGTTGCAAAAGACTGGTCTCGTCCCTCTTCTCTGCGCCGCGCGGGAGGTGAAGAAGAGCGGCAAGTCGAGGAATCTGGACCTCATTTGGGAGTTTTTAGATAACTGCGCTGGAAGATGCGCCGCCTCGCCCCTGAAGTACGTGGACCTGATGCAGGAAAGTGCCACCCAAGGCGGCGATGAGGCCTTTGCGAGCTTGCTCATGGCTACCATGGTCGAGCAGCTGTCTTTTGTTGCCGACAAGGCCACTGACAAAAAGGACCTGGAGCTTCTGTCTAAGTTCCTTACGGTGCTCCTGAGTTGCGCGCAGACCAAGGGGGAGACCAAGGCCGTCATCAGTGCGTTTGCGAAGAAGATGACCGAGGTCTTGGGAGACCGCGGCTCGGCGATCGTCCCAAAGACTGACAAGGCTTTGCTCAATGGCGAGCCTGGGGATGAGGCTACCGTGGCGGACGATGCTGGTTCCCAATTGCAAAGGCAAAACACGAACGCCAATGATGATGAGATGGATAAGCATTCGCTAGAGGTTATCCTCGACGTCTCTTACGAGCTTGACGACGACAACTCTGCTCTTCTGAAGTGGAACTCCAAATCAGTAGAGGATCTCGTGGACGAGGGCTACGCCGCAGCGCTCATCCGTTTGCTCTGGTCAGAGCACGGCAGCATCCGCCAGGAAGCCCTCACTAACATCCTGAAGATGGCAGCCAAGTTCAAGGAGTCCAACTACGAAGAAAAGGACCAAATCTGGCTCCTCCTCTCTGAACTGGCAGAATCCTCCCGCGGCCTCGTGGCCCGCGGCCCGGTCGCCTCGCCCCTCGTCTCTTTCGCCATCGCCTCCCTCGAGGTCCTCAAGAACCCGCTGCACTGCCTCTATGCCAAGGTGAACAGCTTCCTCACGCGCGGCCCCGTGTGGCAACACGACAAGGTGCCCCTCGCGCACGACATCCTGCACGGCGCGCCGTCCGAGGACGATCGGTACTACACCGAAGTGAGCTGGCTGCTGGCGTACCTGCTGGACGGCCTGCGGACGCCGGCGGACCTGGCCGTGTACCACCAGAAGAAGTGGTTCGAAAAGATCTTCGCGCTGGCGGGGAACCCGTATATGCGGGCGAACCTGAGGACGAGGATCTTGAGGATCTTGTGGCGGGCGACGTGTATCGAAGGCGGGAGCACGACGTTGGCGACGAGATTTGGGATCGTGAGCTGGTTGGAGGTGCAGGAGGCCCGGTGTGGCGGCGGCAGCGGCGGCAGTGGTGTCGAAAAGGTTGATGCGGATACTAGGGAGACAAAGCGGTTGTACCGCGCTTTGAGGAGGCGGGTTTGGGAGACTTGTGATCAGGAGAGGGTTGGTGAATGGAGTCGGCAGGGCGTTCCCTTGGGTTTGGAGGGTTGAAGACGGACGGAAGAGAGATTCAAAAAGTATCTGAGAAAGGAATGGTGCTGGTTCAGTACCATGTAATGTATAAATCGAAAAAGGGAGAAAAATGGGAGTCGGGCTAGTGACATTTAAAATACACTCCTCATCAGTGTGATGTGTGTACATATTACAACACACTTTTCAAAAAAGCTGTCGAGCTGAGATATGGTGATACTTGATGGTATGGTTTTGAATGACCCCAGAACTTGGATGGCCTGAGATCATGAATTGGGATCAGCAATGTATCGAAGAATAAACAGCCCAGGGCTGTAACAAGGCAAGTCAAAAAGCCTCAGAGATCCAAACTAAGTAGCATACTGACCAGACACGCAGGGAAACACAAGTAGGTTGTTGACAGTGGTTCCCTGGAGGACATGATTTTACATCCGGCCGTTGGAACGTATGGTGAATTCAGACAAAGTGGTGAAAGGGGCGTATTCCAACGTCCGGGTAATTTCTAGCACTAATTCTCAACAAGACAGAATGTTCTGACGAACAGATAGTTTCTGAAAAGAAGTGACGTGAGAATCCAGGAGTAATGAAAGCAAAATGGGGTTGTCTTCAATTGCTAGTGGTGCTTAAGCTGTTTACTAGTTTTAAGATATGTCTTAATTGACGAGGCCACTCTTTGTTCGACCACTACTAACTGAAGATGATAGGAAGATAACACTAGTCTTTAAAGCCTCGATGTACTTGGCTTAGGTAGACTAATGTTAAGCCAACATCCTATGAGTGGAAGCTCTCGATGGAGCTTGTCGTTTGTACTACCTTAGTCAAGTATGGTAGAGATAAGAGACGAAATTGGTGTTGGTGCGTAGGTCTATTGTCTATTTCTTGAACCTCGTCTCTGATAGATGGATGCCCTTCTATGAAATCCCAGAACGAATCTATTCCATTGTTCCGGGGCGGACAATATGTGGCCCAATCTACTGTTGTCATCTTCACTGCAACTCCTCCTCGCACCTTTTACACCCGCACTCGAACCCCCAATTCCTCTTCAACGTCGAAACCCTCTTCTCCCTCAACCACTTCTTCTCCTCCCCTCCCAAGTACGTAATACACATCTCCTCCCCTCTCCCAATATCCCGCCCCGCCCGAAACTCCCACACCCTCCCCTCCCTCCTCTTCTCGATGTTCGGCCCGCACGAGTGGTTCCAGTAGCTCGCGGCGGGCCAGCACCCGTAGCCAAACAGCTCGGACCCTTCGTCCTCGAGGGACCGGATGCCGAACGCATTGTGGTTGTCGCGCGAGGAGATTAGGAACAGGGACTCGGGGGTGACGAGGGAGAGTAAGGGTAAGGGCAGGACGGCGAGCAACTGCAGGTAGGTGGCGGTGAAAGCGTGCAGGTCGGCCGTGTTGATGTAGGGCGTCGAGTCCACGGCGAGGGAGAGGACGTGTTCCCATCGCTTGGGGTGGTTGTACAGCGCCACGAGGCTGCCGACGCAAAAGTTCATGACGTCTGGCTCGATGGGCTGCTGGAGGGCCTTTTGAAGGGCTTTGCGGTGTTGCTTTGTGATTGGAACGCCGTTGCCGTTGCCTTTGCCGTCGTCTGTCGACGATTCCGCCGTCCGTAATGTGCGGATCAGCTCCGCCTGCCCCTTGGTCGCCTGCCACGCCTGTGTGATCTCCTCGGCTGCGGGCTTGGGCTTGGTGATGTCCACCATCTCGTCCCTCGCCTTCCCGCCGCCGCTGTTGCTGTTGCCCCCATTGTTCTTCTTCTTGTTGACCAGCGTACTCACCTCGGTCCAAGCCTGGACACCTACCTCGCCGGTCTCGCGCCGCCACGTGTCCCGACAGTCACCGGAGCAAAAGGCGAAACCGACAGTCTGGTCACGGATGGGCAGGCCTCTGCCGTAGTCGTATGCAAAACACTGCCCGCAGACCTCGCGCCTGTACTCCCGCAGGAGGACGGAGAGCGTGAGGTCGTCGGAGCGCCAGAGCAAGGTGCCGGCGGCGACGTCGCGGGTGGCGAAGACGGCGCGGCCGGCTGTGGGCGTGTCACGGATCTCAAAGAGGGAGGAGACGGGGGCGCCTGAGACGAAGGGCTTGTCGTCAGAGGTGCCCTTCACTGCCAGGGACGAGGGAGCGGACGAGATGGAGGACGGCCTCGAGAGACTCGATGCTGGGTAACTCGTCAGTAGAGTTTCCGTGTCGCTATCGACATGGTTCATCGTGGGTGGTTGCATATTCATCGTGAGCTGAGTTCTTCGTGTGAGAGTCGTGATGGAGGTCAGTTTCTTTTTGTGGCTTTGAGCTCTCTATGGTGATCTTCTTGTTATCTTTTCAGAACTCGTCTGTGTCGCTTTGAGCTTAGAAAAGTGAGTGGTTGTAAGCAATCAAGGCTCCTCGGAGGAGTTTATGAAGTAATAGCAAGTTGTGAACTGGATGTCGATGTTCAACTTTGTAATGAGCGTATACTACTGATGCAATTATGATTTTGAGTAATAGCCATGCTGTAGTTTAGTCTTTTGAGGTATACTTGTGAAGCCAAGAGGGGTTGAATATGAGATCAAAGAGGAAAAAATAAACACACAAAAGGTCCCATGAGGTAGGCGGCAGAGGGGTGAAGCTTTTAAATGTCGTGGGTGGGCCCGACCCTTAGACCCCTAGATTGACAAGTTCGGACTAGTGTGAGGCGATTTAATCTAAAGATAAGCGAATGACAGCGAGAACGTGTTGCATGCGGACGGGGAAAACAAATCTCCTGCCTTTTCGAGGGTTTTGCTTGGATGAAGTTGCAAAAGGGCGAACTGCAGTGAGGGACACAAGAGGCGGTGAAGTGGTTGTAAGTGAACACCAAAAAAAATCGCCGCAAACTCGCGAGATTATGTGTGTCTCACAAGAACCACTAATGCCACGGCAGAGCAAGTTGAGGATGGAATTCTCACAAGTAGCTTGAAACCGGATGGAATAGGATGAATTTAACATTGGGACTAGGCTCGAAAAGAAGAGGGAATGAGTTCCGGTCAGTCGTGAAACCGTGTGTCTTTTGCCGCTTTGCTGGCTCAAGGACTCGACCTCGTGTGAGAAGAACTGTGTAGACGCTGATAGGCTGAGCCATACTTGGCTTTCGAGTGTCCAACATTGCAAGTTGCGATGGAAGATGCCGATGGTTGGCAGCATTGCTATACTCGGTAGTTAGAGCAGGTCGTGGTCTGGATGATTTGAAGGGAAGTGCCCATAAGTCCAGGACGCAGGATGTAACGCTGAGTGTTAAAGTAAGCAGCATTTCAGATCTCGGTTAAGCTCTAAGAGAAGGAGATGGTGGGGCGGAAGTGTACGATTGTTTCCCCATCTCTTAGAGGGGAGGAGGTACGTACCCGCAACTTGGACAGTCTCTTGGTCTGGGCTTTTTTAAGGTCGAGAATCCCACAGCATGGGCCTTTGGAGGCAGACCATTTGAACAATCAGCAGAGAAACATAGACATGCCTTTGTAAATGTGAGTCGGTCGAGTAGAGCTTCGAGTCACTATTGCTATAGACACTATAAAGAGATGTCGAGTGAATATCCAACACCTTGGCCAGTGGTGTCACACTCTTAGCGAGTTGTTACGCCGTAATAGTATGGCTCGGTGGAGGGAGTTACCTAAGGTGAACAAATAGGTTGACCTAAGGTGAGCCCGGGTACAGGGGTGAGGGGTTGGTTGCATTTGCCTCTTTGCCTGATGGCAGGGGCCAGGAGAACCTGGAAGGAAAGCAGGCACGCCGCACGCCGCACGCCGCACGCCGCACGCAGGAAGGAGGGGAAAGTAAGAGAGGTGAAGCGCCAAGGGTAGGCACGGATACGTACCTGATTTTTGACTGCAATGCTCCTTCCATGGAATGGAACCTGGAACTCTGACAAGTTGACGTGCCTGCCTCCCTCTTCAGAGTGCATCGATAGGTACCTTATCACACACCCGACAGGCGACAGGAACTTTCTCAGAAGACTCGGACGGGAGGTGAATGGAGGTGGAGGTGGAGGGTGAGGGACACACTGTACGGTGACCCGGCACAGCTGCCCCGATGCTGCGCTGGTCTCCTTACCTTAGGTACCTTAAGGTACGTAGTACACCTCAGAGTACAGTGAGCAGCGTGGTGAGGTGGGGAGTGGAGTGCTTGGCTGCCAGTGGAAGCAGGTAGACCTGGACACCTGGGCACCTGAGCGAGCACCTCCTCCACCAGGTTTCGTCCCAAGTGCCAAAACCTCCTTTGACCACCTGCACCATCTCTATTCGTACCACCTACCTATCCAGCTACCTTACCTTACCTTTACACGCCCTGACAGTTCGCTGCCGGAATTCGCCCATCACAATAATCTCTCACTCCGCATCAGATATTGCATCACTCTGAACCCTCAAAACACCAAACCATCATATCCTCTTCGCCTTGCCTGTCCCTGATTGCCAGCCTCGTTGCATCAAGCTACCCAACCACTGCCAGCGCCCTCGACGCAGTAGTGCAGCCCGATCGGAGCCAGTCCTACGGATACTCCGTATTCCGTACTGACACTCCCGTCCTGTCTGTCCCATCTCCCACCACTTTCCACTCTGACTGGACCATCAACTACGACCGGCACCGACCGCCGACCGACCGACTCGACTTGACCTTCCTCGACATCACCACAACCACCACAACCCACTCCCCTCTTCACCCTGTGTGACGTACAAAGAACCATCGCAACAACGGCATCGACGAACACAACCTCAGCCTTTGGCGCCAAACACCGCACCACCTGCTAGTATCACAGCACCGCATCCATCTCCTCTCCAACTGGCGAAGCAACCTACCTGCCTCCGACGACAGCTTCTCCCTTCTCTCTGTCGACCGAATCATCGACATCTGTTCATGCAAACATCACCCTCGCCACACCATCAATAGCCTTCCCACTTGTTTTCGGATGCGCTTTGCATCATCCTACTGCTATGGCACTCCAGTATTCAGCAGAGGTTCTCATTCACCTGCGAGAATCACCACTATGCATCAAACCATCTGCTTTACCGCCCGCTGAAGAATGGATGGGGTATGCCGTCACCATAGCCCTTTGACACAACTACCTCATTTTCTAACTATTGCTTCCAGACCACCTCCCGATAATAATCGAACCCAGACCAATGTCACCAAGCCGGCTACTGACAGAAGAAGCCACGATAATCCCTTGCTTGATCAGACAAATCGTCGCCCTGGCGTTGACCGCCACGTCTCGCGAAACAGCGCCAGTATGTCTCTACCTCGCCGTCTCCTCATTTCCCTCGCCCCTTGAGCAATCCCAACTGACCCAAACTTCAATTGCAGACCCCGAAGACATTATTCTCGGACCTCCTCGAACCGCCTTCGCCTCTGCGACCCTGCGCAATGGCAAACCTTTTGACAACGACAAGGGCCTCAAGGACGCTGACTCGCCCAGTCGCTTCAATTTCCGCAATCGCAATGGTGACACCCCCGAAGGCGACCGCTTCCGCGATTCGAGAAACACAAACTTTGGTCGTCGTCGCGGCGACGGTGATCCACAGGATCAGGAGGGATGGAGTACAGTGAAGCCGCGCAAGAGCTTCGGGCACGAGGGCGCCGAGCGCTTCCAAGGTCGCATGGGCGCTGGTGGTGGTGATAGGCTTCCCAATGAGCGCCGTCCCCGTGATCGCGACGACCGCGACGGCCCTAGAGACCGTACCCACCGCACCTTCGACCATCACGACAAGGAGCATGACCACGAGGAAGCTGAGCCACGGCCCCGAAATGGCCTTAGCAGGGGCAAGTCGGAGCCCTGGTTCAAGAACGACAACAGCACTGCCAGTAACAATACCAACAGTGCCAACACTCCCGAGAAGCCTCCGTTGACGGCTCGCGAGCGCATTGACCGGGCCAAGAGCTGGAGAGACCGAAACCGGGAGGCGGAGCCAGTCGAAGAAAAGAGCACTGGCAGGAACTATGAGCGTCGCTGGGAGCGCGGCGAACATAGACAAGAGCGAGAGCCTGAATGGTTCGACGAACCTGCCGGAGAAAAGGCAGGAGGCCACACGGAAGAGGACTTCAAGAAATTCATGGAAAGCATGAAGGCGAGCCGTAACGGTCCTGCCGAGGACAAAGCGCCAGCTGCCGCAGTCGAGGCTGCAATCAAAGCCGAGCAGCCAGCTGTTGCTTCTGCACCCGCTGTGGAGATTGGCCCCGACCAATTCTTCCTCAAGTTCGCTTCTACTGCTGGCTTGGACGTCAGCTCCCCTAGCGAACCCAAGAGAGAGACTCCTTCCAAGTCTAAGACAGGCGGTGGCAAGTCCTCGCGGTTCACCTCATTCTTCAATGCCCCTCAGGATGACCCCACCCAACGAATGAAGACGGAGCCTTCAACGCCCATGGCAGGCCTTCCTTTCGGTGGCCCTGATCTATCTGGGCCGGCTCCCGACAATGAGAAGCAAGCTTTCCAAGCATTGCTCATGAAGCTGCAGCGTTCAAATCTTCAATCAGCCACGCCGCCTGCTTCGCAACCATTCCAGGAGCCTCCCCCGCCTGCTCGCGAGCATGCTCCTTCCAGCTCCGTCGCGTCGCCCGAGCCATTCCAACAGTATGGCGGCGAGCGCAGAGAGGACCCCCGCCCTCGCATGCCGCAGGGATCCATGTCCATGTCAGATATTCTTGCCCCGCGTCCAACGATGCCTCACCAGCAGCAGCCGCCTGCTGCTCGTCAAGACCAACTGCTCCAGGAGCTGGTTGGACAACGTCACCAGGCTTCAAGCCAGGGATCCGGTCGAATGGAATCAAACCAAGGCCGCAATATGAGCAACACCGAATTCTTGATGAACTTGATGAGGAACCAGCCCGAGCCCCCACGAACGGAACAGCAACTCCTCATGCGCATGCCGCAACCTCAGCGCGCCGCTCAGATCCCGCATGCTCCAGACCGCGAGCCCGACTTCCAGCAGGGACTTCCGCAGGGACTTCCGCAGGGCGGCCGTGGTTCTCAGCGCCAGATGCGTGGTCAAGGCCCGCCTGGCTTCATGGATGAGGGTTTCCACCATCCTGAGCCAGAAGCGCGTATGCAACCCACGCAGATTTTGCAACGTCCGCCCCCGCCTCCCGGCTTGGACCAAATGAACCCCAACTGGATTCAGCAGGGCGGCGGCGGTCCCCCCATGCCCCCTCAACAGAGATCCATCATTCCGCCTCCTGGTCTCGCTGGTGGTCCTGGCCGCAATCA